TCGCTTAACATCGTTTCGCTTAAAGTAGCATTTTCCAGGAACATAACTACAACGTTAAGTGAGGAGTTACTGTGTGTTTTTTAAAATAATGTAAAAATGTGAGGGCTCTGGGGTGGGGTGGGGATGAGAGGTTTGAGGTGTGGGAGGGGGCTCAGGGCTAGGGCAGAGGATTGGGGTGCAGGGGTGAGGGCTCTGAGGTGGGGAGGGGCTGGGGATGAGGATTTGGGGGTTCAGGCAGGCCAGAGAGGAGGACCCCCAGCCTTCTCCCTGCTGGCAGCAGTGAGCTCCGGGGGAGGGCCCTCCTCTTCCCCCCTGCACCACACTCACCTCGCACCACTGTCAGTGCACGTGCTCCTAGGGCCCCTCTCAGGTCCAGGAAGCCCCCTCAACTCCCCTGTGGTGGGTGCCGGGAGGGGGGCTGCCATCACATGTGCGCCTCCTCCCCTGCTGCTGCCACTCACTGTAGCCTCACTGGGGGTGGGGAGTGGGGCTGCCCCTTGTCCAGTGTGGGGCAGGAGCGGTGACCGCGGGTAGGGGGGCCCCCTGTGCTGGTGGAGGGTCCAGCCGGAAAATGAAAGGGTCTGAGGCGGAAGGGCAGGCTCAGGGTCAGTCTGCCCTGTGACTAGTGATGGGGGGCACTAGGACCCCTCGGCGGCAGTTGATGCCGCAAGCCAGCAGGGAGTCAGCTGCCAGCTGCAGGGGAGAGGCAGGGACAAGGGCCTAGGGGAGGTGCGTGCGTGGGGGCAGCAAGCGGGGGCTGAGGGACACTCGGGGGAGGCAGGCGGGGCCGGGGGAGAGACCTGGCCCTGAACATTGGTGGAGACGAGGCCCGGGCCCTGAATATTGCTGGAGCCCGGGCACCACGGGCCCATACAACTCGCTGCCACTGCAACTTTGGACTATTTCAGGTTTATATGATTTTTTTAATTATTTTATAATTTCTACTATAAATCAAACCGGTCTGTTCTGACCAAATGCTGCGTTGTGATTTTTGTCCAAAACAAAATGTCACCGAAATCAACACGGTCCCTTGGGACGGTTTGATTCTGACAAAGCAGCATTTCCAGACGGAAGAAAACACTCCATCGGAAACGTTTCCACCAGGTCTGCTCCCGGGGCAGCTGGCATCGGAGCAGGCTGCTTGGGGTGACTGGATATTTCGGATTTATCCGATCTCCTGCGAGGGTGACCAGACCAGATATTCATAGATTCATAGACTCTAGGACTGGAAGGGGCCTCCAGAGGTCATCGAGTCCAGTCCCCTGCTCTCATTTATATACACAATTATTAACCCCCCCCCCAAAAGTGTCCTGATTTTTCACACTCTATCTGGCCCCCTATCGCCGGCCCTGGTCCAGCCCCACGCTCTAGCCGCCCTGGCGGCAGCGCGCTCCCGCTCCGCCCCTTGCCCGCCCCGCTCCCGGCCCGACACAGGCTGGCGTGTCTCGCCGCAGAGCAGGCAGCGCGCGGGCCAGCAGGGGGCAGCCCCGCGCGGAGACAGGCTCAGGCCCTGCCTACACGGCGGGGAGAGACTCGCGCCCCCGCGCAGACAGGAAGCGGCTCCCCAGCGGCCCAGGCCCAGGTACCGCACCCCGGTTCCTTCCCTTCCCTGCCTCGCCCCGGGAAGCTGCTGGCAGCACAGCCCGCGGCTCGGGGCAGCAGGAGCGGGGAGCCCAGCACGGCCCCCTGCGGGGCCCGCTTCCGCTCGGGGGAGCCGGGGGTGGGTGCGGCAGCAGAAGGCGGGGCTCGCCGCGTCCGGCAACTGGAGGCAGGGAAGCGGCAGTGTCGGGTCCCAGCCCAGCCTGCTGCCCGAGCTCCGCTGGGGGCGCGCTGCGTCTCCGCCCCGCGTGTCTGACCTTTGCAGCCCCCCACACGCTAACCTTTACAGCCCAGCCTGCACCCCTCCCCGAGCGATACAGCCCCCACCCCACAACACTCTGACCTGTACAGCCCCACCTATACCCCAATCTGTACAGCCCATCACCTCACAACACCCTGCGCTGTACAGCCCCCCCGCTCCTACACCCCCCGACCTGTGCAGCCCCCGACCCTGCACTCTAACCTGTGTACAGCCCAGCCTGCACCCCTCCCTGATCTATACAGCCCCCCCACAACAGTCTGATCTCTACAGCCCCGCCTACACCCTGATCTGTACAGCCCACCACCTCACAACACGCTGTGCTGTACAGCCCCTTGCCCCACCTACACCCCCCCAACCTGCACAGCCCCCCGCCTACAACCCCCTGCCCTGTACAGCCTCTCTGCCTACACCTCCTGATCTGTACAGCCCCGCCTACACCTCATCTATACAACTGCCCTCCACCCCCACACCCCCTCTATACAACTGCTTGTCTTCCACGGTAATCTGTACAGCCCCCCCCCCACCCCACACCCCTCGACCTGTACAGCTCCCCACACAACACACATCCTAACCTGTACAACCCAGCCTACACCTCCCCCACACTCCATCTATACAACTGCCTGTTTCCCACCCCCTTGATCTGCTCAGTCCCCTGCTTCACACACCCCAACCTATACAGCCTCGCCTACACCCCAGCTTGTACAGGCCCACACTTTCCCCCACCCCCGGTCGGCCTGTACTGCCCTGCCTATACACCTCAACCTGTACAGCCCTGCCTACACCCTGACCTGTACTGCCCTCCACCCCACAACCCCAATCTGTACAGCCCACCCCACACCTCCCTGACCTGTACAGCCCCGCCTACATCCCCCCAATCTGTACAGGCTCCCATCTCCCTCCCCTCTGTTCAGCCCCTACACACTCCCTGACCTGAACAGCCCAGCAGACCCCCCCACACACTTTGATCTGTACAGCCACACACACATACCCCTGATCTGTACAGCTCTGTGTACACCCCCGATCTTCACAGTCACATACCCCTGATTTGTACAGCCCTGCATACACACCCCCTGATCTGTACAGCCGTGAGCACACACACCCCTGATGTGTACAGTCCTCTGCTCCCTATGTGTCTGATCTGTACAGCTCTCCAGGATTTAGCTCCTGTTGTCTCTTCCCCTCCTAGAGTTTTCACCCAGGAGTTGAGATCCGGGGAAGTGGGGTGCCTCTGGGGCTGGGAGTCCCTTGAGCCGTTTGTTCCTGGGCTGAGGCAGGGTGTTCTTAGCACAGGGCTCAGAATTTAACCCATGCCATTTGCTCTGCCCAAGCACCGAGCTGGTAATCTTTGGGGCATGTTGCAAAACCAGGCACGTTTACTCAGGCTTTCCTTGAGCGGGGAATGGGCTCAACTTCTGAGAACTGAGCTGTTCTCGATCCTGCTGGTCTCCATGGGGCACTGTGCTGGCACAGAGATCCATCCACCCAGCGCTCATTGCAAACCTGGGGCCTTAGCGGGCAGACTTCAGAGATATAATGGTTCCTGCACCCAGGGCCTCGCTACACTCCTACGAGGTAACTGTGAGTCCTTGGTGTGTTTCATCCACCAGCCCTTTCCAAACACTAACGCAATTGGATTTCTATTTCGGTCTCGTTCATGAGTTCCATAGTATTTACAGTCAAGAAAAATTCCTCTTTGCCTGTAGTGTAAAGATATTTTCACTCTCTTTTCAAAGAAAGAATCAGGTGAAATTTGGCCTAGAAAAGTTTTTCATTTAAAAAAAAAAAATCCACTGCAACCAGGGATTTTCTCATTTATATAAAGCCATTCCTGCAGCCTGGGGAACGCCCACCATTGCAGCGCTGTGCTAGGGCATGAGAACCTAAACCATTCATTTCCTCTGAAGGACGAGAAATGTGATGGGTGAAATCCTGACTCCCTTGAAGTTAATGTTAAAACTCCCACTGCCGTCAGTGAAGTCAGCTTTTCCTCCAGTGCGTGTAAGAGAGTTGCTGTTCAGAGTTCACTTGGACTTAGGACATTGGAACAAAAAAGATACAGGAATAAGACATCAGGGCCAATGTTCCCTCTAATTTTTTACATCCATGTGTGGAATGAATTTGGTTATGTGCACCAATATCAAGGTGATGTGTGGTGGGGGTGAGGAATTCGAGTGTGGGAGGGGGCTCAGGGCTGGGGCAGAGGGTTGGGGTGCGGGGGGCTGAGGGCTCTGGCTGGGGATGAGGGCTCTGGGGTGCAGGCTGCCTTGAGCTGCAGTGGGGAGAGAGGACTCCCCCCCCCCCCCCCCCCGCCCCCCCTTGCCACAGCAGCTCGGGGCTGGGGGAGGGGCACCTCTCCTCGCCTGCATGGCCCTTGATAGCCTGCTGCGCGGCCGCACAGCTTAGAGGGAACATAGATCAGGGCTTGAATTTTACCCCTTTTAGTAAAGGATTCCCATCTGCTCTGCGGAGGGGCAGAACAGACCCAGCCTAACCCCATGCAGGGGCTGCTTGGCTCCTTTGCCTCTAGCTAACTTCCTTCCCCACCATCTGTCCTGCAGCATGCATGGCGCAGGCAAGGGGCTCAGCCGCACGACGGTGCTAGGACCCAGAGCTCTCCATGCAATTCTCTCTGCAGTCACTGCCCGGTAGCTAGCTTGGTATTTGGTTCTGCTCAGAGAGATTAAGGGACTTGCTCAAGGTTGCATGGGCTCGGGATGGAGCTGGGAACAGAACCCAGGAATGCCGACTCTTAGGTCTCTGTTCTAATCTGTAGTTACCAGAAAAAGCACCCAAAGATGCTCATATGACAGAAGCCATCTGGCTAGCCGTGTGTGAGAGAGTCCGAGGGAACTGAATGTTGCTGCCCTAACAGCAGTGCAATAGCTTTTTCTGTGCAAGGTCTCCTGCTTTTCTCAAAGAGCTCCCGGGCCTTGCCTGGGGATCAGAGTTCAGTCATTGAATCTCTGGTCTGCATTGCCCAGCAATTGAGTGATCCATTGTGTGTTTGTTTTCTAGGAGCTGGCAGGGCTCTGCACAGAATGAAGAGGTGACTCTCAGCCCCAGCCTGATGCACAGAGCTCTGAGCGCTTTGTGATGAGCCCTTCTCGGAGGAGGGGACTACAGAAACTTTCTACTTGTGCACTCCTGGAGAACGAGCCCTCCCCTGCGTGTGGCTCTCCCAGGACTGTGTGAGGGAATCTCCAAGAGGCTGCTGACGCAGCAGGGCTGTGCTGGGAGAATGGTCTGTGCCCAGGTGGAAGCGAGCCCTGGGAAGTGCTGGCAGAAGGTGCTGTATGAGAGGCAGCCCTTCCCAGATAACTATGTGGACCACCGGTTCCTGGAGGAGCTGCGGAAGAACATCTACGCCCGCAAGTACCAGTATTGGGCAGTGGTGTTTGAGTCCGGGGTGGTGATCCAACAGCTGTGCAGCGTCTGCGTCTTCGTCGTCATCTGGTGGTACATGGACAATGGGCTGCTGACCCCACAGTGGCTGTTTGGGGCTGGCCTGGCCTCTTCCCTGATTGGCTACGTCCTGTTTGATGTCATAGACTTGGGGGTGGGGAGGAAGGAGAGCGGTCGGACCCGGTGGGCGGATCTGAAAAGCACCCTGGTGTTCATAGCTTTCACCTATGGCTTCTCCCCAGTGCTGAAGACCCTGACGGAGTCGATCAGCACGGACACCATCTACGCCATGTCGGTCCTCATGCTCCTGGGGCACCTGATCTTCTTCGACTATGGGGCCAATGCTGCCATCGTCTCCAGCACGCTGTCCCTCAACATGGCCATCTTCGCCTCCGTGTGCCTGGCCTCCCGGCTGCCCCGCTCCCTGCACACCTTCGCCATGGTCACCTTCGCCATCCAGATGTTTGCCCTGTGGCCCATGCTGCAGAAGAAGCTCAAAGCGCGGACACCCCGCTGCTATGTGGGAGTGACCCTGCTCTTCGCCCTGTCTGCGCTGGCTGGGCTGCTGACCGTCTCGGGTGTCGCTGCTCTTCTCTTTGCCCTTCTGCTGGTCTCCATTTCATGCCTGTGTCCTTACTGCCTCATCCGGCTGCAGCTGCTCAAAGACAACATCCATGGGCCTTGGGATGAAGCTGAAATCAAGGACGACCTCTCCAGGTTCCTCATGTAGACTCGTCCAGGACACAGCAGGCCGGCAGGACCCCTACAGTGCTACCGGAACAAAAGCCTTCTGCCTTAGAGACGACCTCCTGAGTGCCAGAATCACAGAGAAGTGTGGGGGAGGTTGCAGTGTTAGAACAGAGCCTCTTCTCCCAGAGTGAGACAAACTGCTTGGTACATACTAGGAACTTCCCCCCAACAATGTATATGTGTATCGCTCTCACTCATTAATACTAGCTGAGCTCCCAACGCGGAAGCGTGGCGAGAGCACAAGTAGACAGAGGACTGCAGGCAGATGCCAGCATTTTATCCACCACGTTACCTGCTCAGAGCAGGTCTCCATGACGTATGTGGCACTTAATACCAGCTATAGGGCACGAGCGTCTTCTCCCCACTAGCGCTGCTGTTGGCTCTCCTGCTTGGGGAACTGAATTAATGGTAGCAATAGTGGGGAATGTTTTAGCCAAAGTTTGCTGGTGTAGGCGAGGCCCACTGGAATTGCTGGGTATTTGGAAAGCAGCTTTCGAAATCTCTTTGGCAAGCTGGACTTTCTGGCTATTAAAAGCATCCAATCCCTCAAACCTCTCTGCCTTTGTCATTCTTCTGTGAAACAGCCCAGCGGGAGCAGCACATGGGGGGCAGCTGATGGGGCAGGCAGATCAGATCCAGGGGCTTTATTTTGTTAAAGGGCAGAGCTTACATGTCTTAGTTCAGAGGTGTCACCGCAGAAGCAGGAGTGTGGGGCAGGGGGGCAGATCAGGAGTGGGAATGCAGGATACCTGACTGTGCATTGGAAGGCCCTGTGTTTGCTCCCATTCCAGTGTTGCATGGGATTTCTGTGTGTTACTGTAACACAACCAGTGAGAAACTCAAGCAGAGCACCCTGGCTTTATCTCCCTGCAGGTTGCAAAGCTGTCGGGTCCGATGTGTGTCTGGAAACATCCCCAGGTTCTTATTGCGTTGGCATCTTCCCTTCTCAGGCTGATGTAGCGCTGGGTATTTCCGCTAAAAGACAGGCACAAGCAGAGGAAGGGGATTGTTTGCCAAAGGCTTCCAGCAACACTCTGGCGAGCCAGCTTGGTCTGCTTGGCTGGAACACGAGATGATGGACGTGCCTGAGTTGTCTGGCCTTATCGTGCTGCTCCCCTTTGAGTCCAGTCCATTACCGACTGACTCAGCTGTGGCTAGTGCTGTCTCCTTCCCACGAGAGCAAGACAGCTCTGAGAGGCCTCTCCGTTCGCACCTCTGTGCTACCTGTGCTCTGCAGAACTGTTTGTTCCCAACATGCTTCAGCAGGGATTGCTCGCTCTCGGTGTCAGATCCGAGGGCTGGATTCTGGGTTTTACGCGTTCATTCAGGGAGAGGCTTAGTTTAAATCATGGTCATGGGTGTAACTCCCCCGACGGGTTTGTTTCATGCTGCTCATCCATGCACTCTTGCTCTGATGTGTGAGCTCCTCCATCAGCGATCCATGGCAGTGCTCCCTGCACTGGACAGGTTGGTGCTCAGCACTCGCTCTCTGGAACAGCTGTTCCCGCTAGCGCTCCGAGTCCTGCTGGTTACTTCAGTGCTAGGACAGCGTGGCGGGGAGGGCATGAAGAACAGACTGAGAGGAGTCGAACAGCAGGAGGGGATTGGTGGAATGGCTCAGCTGTACAATAAACCCCAGCCTTAGCATGCAAGGTCACCTCCTGTACCCAGACAGCACCATGGAAATGATTATTACAATAGAGCCTAGGGGCCCATTGTACATACATAGTGAGACAGTCACTGCCCTAAAGAGCTCAGTGTAAATAGACTAGCCAGACAGAAGGAGATGATAATACGTCCTTTTCTACACCTCCAGAATGGAGGCACAAGGGTCCTGCCCACAGGTCGCAGAGGGAAGAATTGAATCCAACGCTCCTGATCTCAGTCCAGTGCCTTACCCATGAAACCATCCATCCCCTCACCAAACAGCCAGCTAGTTTTGGACCACTACCAACCAGCAGCCTGCCCTGGCATGGAGGGCAGCTGCTAGATGCACACACAGACCCAGAGGAGTTAGCTAACTTAGAGCCCAGCTCCTTGGGCTGTTGAAGGGGGGGGAGGGGGGCACAACCACTGATTTGGCCTAGAACTGGTGGAAGGAGTGAGCTAAGGAGGAACCCGAGGCTACGTCTGCACTACAAGCTAAGGGTCTGATTGCCTTGCTCAAGTCTGTGTACTCACACTCTCAGTGAGCTAGCATGAGTATAAATAGCAGTGTAGTCACGGTACCAGCACGGGGACACTGCTTACACAAGCAGGGGACTCACCCCCTAGTTCACAGTGTAGCCTTTGTCGCACTGAGGAAGGGAGGGAATTCCACCTGTAGAGGGCAGCATGGGGGAAGGCATGAAGACGAGGAGGATTAGGAAGGGAGATGCGCACAATGATCACAGGGTGAGGAAGGAATAGCATGCAATTCTTCCTAAGCTGTCTGGCTCATAGAAGGAGATTGCTGTAGAAAGGAGCACAGCCCGTGCTACTACGATAGCAGCAGGACCAATGCACAGAGGAGCTATGAGAGGAGTGGGCTGTGTGAAGGAAAACAGCTCACCTCCGTTCTGTTACTGTAGGAAGAGCTAGGAATGCAAAGAGCAAAGGTAACCCAACATGCAGCCAGCAGATGGTGCTCCTCACAAACCGTTCTAGCCACATAAAGCAGCAACCCCTGACACAGGCTGCTTTGATTGACTGCACTTCTGTCCCTAAGTGCTAATTGCATCCATGTGACATTCCTCAGTGTCCTGGCTGTAAGAGCAGAGCTCGCTGCTTCTGGGGAAGAACTAAGCTAGACCGATTCCTAAGAAGCAAAAAACTAATTTTTGGGCTAACATCCCCGGCAAAGTACAACTGAGGAAAGAAACCACACCTCTGTGGCTACATTGTATTATCCCCAGCCAGAGGGGATGGCTTAGTTGTCTAAGCCACGGATGTGCAACGCCCAGACTCTCTGGAACCACAGCGTCAAAGCCCAACAGGGTTGACTCTGCAGTGTGGAGCCCTGCTGGTTTGAACTAAATGGTGGCGTCTCTGTAACTTGAAGTCTTTCAATCAAGATTTGAGGACTTCAGTGGCTCAGCCAGAGGTTACGGGCCTATTACAGGTGTGGGTGGGTGAGGTTCTGTGCCCTGTGATGTGCAGGAGGTCAGACTAGATCAGGGGTTCTCAGACTTCATTGCGCCACGACCCCCTTCTGACAACAAAAATTACTACATGACCCCAAGAGGGGGGACTGAACCCTGAGCCCGCCCAAGCCCCGCTGCCCTGGGCGGGGGGAGGGGCAAAGCTGAACCCCAAGGGCTTCAGCCCCTGGGGGTGAGGGGAAGGCTGTAACCTGAGCCCTGCCACCTGGAGCTGAAGCCCTTGGGCTTCAACCCCGGGCAATGGGGCTCAGTCTTCACTTCGGCCCCGGTTCCCAGCAAGTCTAACACCATTAAAATGGGGTTGTGACCCACTTTGGGGTCCCAACCCACAGTTTGAAAATTGCTGGACTAGATGATCACAATGGTCCCATCTGGCCCTAAAGTCTGTGGGTCTGTCTACGCTGCAACGTAAGCCAAGGGCTAGTAAAACTCGAGTTAGCAGACTCTGGGTTTGTTAACCCAGGGCTCGAGCGTCTATACTGCGTTATGTGGTGCAGTGTGGGAAAACTTGACTGTCCAGAGGACAAAGAAAGTCAGCTCATGGGCTTGTGGGATACTTTTGGCAGGCTCCCAGAGCACAAATCCAATGGGGCTGTGTCTACACAGCAGAGCAATAGGGCTTGAACCCTGGTTCCTGGCTTGACTCTGGCTCAAATCCTCCACTCCTGTGAGGTCCTGGGACCTTGGGTCTGATCCCTGGGTTAGCATGATTTGCATGTGGACAGGGGTTAGGCTTGAGCCTGAATTTGAACCCTGGGCTTACACTGCAGTGTAGACATACCGTCTGAGCCTTTTCCCTTCATTCTGCAAGGTAGATAAATGGGAGCTCCCTGTAGTTTGTGACTGTAGGAAACTTCCAGAGAAGACCTGACATTCTGAATTTGCTTTGCTTGCATATTGAGGACCCGTTGGGCCAATCTGCAAGAGCGTTGGCTGGATTTGGCTCTAAGGTCTTTGCCCAAAGTTCTCGTTTCCCCCCCGCAGTTCCTCTACACGTTGTTTTGCACCGTTTAGCTGCCTCAGAGGTGGTTGTCTGAATGTGGGCTATAAAGTGCTTTGGGCTCTAAGAAGTTATAGAAAGGGTTAAAAAAGGGACAGTGGCAACACTGACACCCCCATCAACCCCCCACCCCAGATTAAAAACAACACCTGAAACAGAAACAAATCAACCAGCCCCACTCCCCCCAAAAAATATTCCAAGCAGCATTTGTACATTGAAAAGGACTGCTAGAGACTCCAGGAAGTCCATAGTGGGCTTGGCTATTGCTAGGGAATTTACATGGAAGGTGCTCGAGTACTAGTGGTGGGTGGCCCAGCCATGGAGGAGAATGGGGATATGGGGCAAAGAAGCTAAATCTCCCTTGAGGCACTGTGGCAGCATATCAAATGGAACTATTTTGATTTTTGGCCAAAGTACTTGGTGTTTTTGATGAAAAAGAAATACAAGTTTCCCACAGAAAGCAGATACTTCTTTAAAAAAAAATGTGTTTCGTCAAAAACCCAATTTTCTGTCCATGGTTTCTACAGAATTTTTTTGACCTGTTCTACTTTATAATCTTTTTAAATTATACAGTAGTTTTAAACTAACAGTCATATTTTAAACTTTTCTGGTTTCTCATCTTGTGCTATTACTCATTTTAAGGCACGTAGTTTTACGGGACACACCAAAAATAACCCAAATAATGTTTAAAAAGAAAATTTCAAATAGCTTTTCTATGACCTGCAGCGATTCCATGATGGTGCGGGGAGGTATGAAGAGTCACTCAGCACTTGCATGGGCGATCAGTAGGACTTGGGCTGTCAAACCTTGACATCACCCACAAACCACCTTAGATACCCCCCCCCCCCCCCCCACACACACACACTTTGCTTCCCTTCTCTCACATGCTATTTGGAAAATTGTTGCGAGCCGGGATGTTTTATGATGTTTTCGACAAGACATCGACTCTGTTGTCCATTGGTCAGCTAGACACATGAGAGAGACTGCAGGGAAGAGCATGATGGCGTTCCCAGCTCTCTCACGCATTCTCACCTCACTCAGATAGCTTGTAACCTCTTCAGAATGGCATGAGACACAAAAGAGAGGGGTTTATTACTGCATCATAAGGCACCAATAGCTATACCCAGATCAGGTCAAGCCAGGGTCCTAGGAATCTTGGAATGGTACTGAGTGGCAGGAGACACTGCCACAGACAGCTTTAGGGCCCAGAGAGGTGGAATTGCACCCAGCATCTAAGTTTCCCCAGCCCAACTCCTTAGCTCCACAACACACACCTCAGCGGCACTAGCACAAAGGCATGTGTCAGGCTGCAGGTGAGTTGCATTACCCCAGCTGTACTGCCCACGCTAACTGCTATCAGGGAGGCTGAAGTGCTGGTGGATCGGGGCTCAGTTCAGTCAACTCATGGCTGTGTCAGTGTGCCACAGTTCATTAG